ACACCTTTTCGCTCGGACACGCTTGGTTCTGTGCTCAACCCATCTCTGTCACTACTTTAGAAGACGCGTGAGCAGACCGTCATGAACATGAGATTAGAATGCAGCCCACGTCCAAAGGGATCGGTTTTCCTAGCCAATCAGAGACCGCTTACCTTGTCCCTAGTTCGTCAAAAGCTTTCATTGCCCGAACTTCAATATAAAAAGGTCTTACAGAATTTGTATTTACATCCTTTATTAGCGAAGATGATGGGAAGAATATAGTCTTTTAAGGCTATAAGTTACGAAATCTCCGCAGGTCTTGTAGTGAAAAAGTACACATCCCTAAATTTAACAATCACAACTTTCGTAGTAAGTGAGATAAGTAATTCAGTTTATTTTCTCGATTTCTTAGTTTACAGCAAGAACAATAGTATGATACTTGATGCATTCAGGGGCATTAATAACACTCGCTGAAGAAACACATAAAGATATGATCTAACGCTCTGCCAGCCGGGACATCGAGCCCCCATCACACTTACACATGCGCACGCGAAATTCTATTCTAAACAGTGTCCTACACAACAGAATCTGATGCATTTTTGTTTCGCTGAATATTTTTGTAATGATGTCATTTACAAAGAAGCATAAATCTACCATTCTCACAACGCTGAAGTTGTCGGGCACTTTGAACTCTTCTTTTTAACCTGTCTTCTAAGGATTGCCCGATACGCTTTTCCGATGCAACGTTCCTCAGATCTTCTTTCAAGTCGTTGCCTTTATATACATCTGAAAAATCACGCAACTGCTTAGCGTCCATGCCCAGCAACAGGACGAGAATAAGAGACAATAGACAAAGTAGCCTGGAACGAGCCAACATCCTATCTTTTCGGTGTTTGGCCAAATTGACGAGATTCACTGCTTTGTTGTTCGATTCTAACAAACAAAATGCACCAAAAGAAATTATCTCAAGTTTAGTATTATCCATTCCGCAGTGCGAATAACAGCAGTTTGACACAGAAAAAAAAGATCTCAGATCAAAATTAATTTTAAAAATTTCATCATGACAAGTACATAAAAAGTAGCCAAGAATTGCGGATTCCAAACAATGATGTATGGTTTTGAGATTATGTGAGGAAATTATTTCAAAATGTCAACAAATGAAAATATGATTTTATTTTATGCAGTCAGTCAATCATAAAAAGTTAGAAATGGCACATTAAACTGCTTACATTCCTCATTTGATCAACGACTTCGTCTGAACGTTGACTGAATTGATAAAGATAATTTAGCAATATCAACTGCGTTGGCAACGTAACTAGGCCACCCTAAAGAGTTTCAAAGCTGACGTTTCGAGCGTTGGCCCTTTGTCAGAGCGAATGACGAAGGGCTCGAAACGCTCGAACGTCGGCTTTGGAACTCTTTACAGTGGTCGATTTATTTTGTCGACTCGGTTCATAATACTAAACTACCCTGTTATACTCTGACGCAGCACTACAGTGTCTTGAGAAACTTTCTCTCTAAGTTGAACTTACCCCCTTCATAAACTGATTAAGAGTCTCATTGAGGACGAGAAAACGTCAAACGTTCGATAGCCCAATACAACGAAGATCAAAAGAAATATCACAGTTTTTCACCATACGGACCGATCCTTAGCCGGTAAATAACATATTTATTTTTTTTAAACTTGACGAAATTCTTTCCGAAAGAACCCGAATGATTTAGGGCTGTAAATACGGCAAGATCTTCCATAAACTGAACAATTTTTGAGCGAGTAAATGATAGTTAAAATAGAGGTGATGCAAATTAAAGAGAGATGCCTCACCGAAACATTTTCATTTGCGTAACGATGAAGGCCAAACAAACTTTGAAACATTATTTTTACAAGTATCTGTCACAATCTGACACCTGTCAATTAGAGAGCGCGTAAGAAAAGAAAAAGCGCAAGAACATTTAAAAAACAACGAAACTAGTTTGGCAAGAACTGTCACACATGCCAATTTTTTCTTCAAAAACACTCAATGATCTAACGGAAAGTATTATTCACTCTCATCGACGATTCATTCATGTACGAAGATTTAACTCTGTTCACTAAGTAAACGGCGAGGAAAGTAATTGTGAGTAAATTCAAATTTTTTATTTTGAAGTTGTGAGAGTTTGCTCGTTTGTTTGCTGCAATGGCGTGTGTAAATCTAGTCTTTCCTCCACAAAAACTAAATTCGAATGGCACACTCCAATGAGACACAAGGGGATTTAATGCGGCCTTTTCTCAATAAATTCCTTCAGTTTCTGTTGTGCAATTTATGGTCCAAATGTCCAAATTGAACGGACTTTGAAAGACTCACCGAGAGCGTATATCTATTGTCGAACTGAAATTAAAACTTCGCTCGCTCTTCACTACGAACAAATTGTTTGAGAAAATTCAGACATTAAATGAATGAAAGTTCCATTGTTCAGTTTACCTGTAACCAACTTTTGAAAAGTTCTTCGAATTCTTAACTATCATTGTGCAGCAAACAACACAAATCGCCACATGTGTTGTCCGTTCCACATCTGTTACCTGTTGTCTATGATACTTCACCAGCGTAAAGCATTTTAATCTCGGAGATCTATGAGTGGATCATTATCAATATCATCTTCGGATTCGAGATTCTGTCCGAAAAGCGGTTTTGGATATTGAAATGACGCAAACGACTTTCTTTCAAGCTTACTGTGCTTCCTTGTTACTTCGTGTAATGTTGCGAAATAACAGCAATTAAATCGGTTTTCTCACAGAAATACTGTTTTGATCAGATAATATTTAATGGGCAATTAATTTTTTTTGATTCAAGCCCGGTGACACTCTTCTAAAAAAAAACATTTTAGCGCACGCTTGTTTATCAGAAACAGGCCTGTTTTAAGCAGCCCATCAAATCAATGATCTACCTACTTTGATTCAATAGTGAAACATTTTAAAAAGCAAGCAAGCGAACAAATCTAAATGAATAATGAAAAAGAATACGAAAGAGAAAAGAAAAACATGAATACTTTTAACACCTTGGATATCTTTTTTTTTTTTTTTAAGCTGCAAACAGATTAATTATGTATATTTATAACAGTACGCCATTTTTGTCAAGGTGCTTAAAGATTTTTGAAAGGGCGATGGAAACAGACATTCAGCAAACTCTCCACAGATATTTTGATCGTAAGTTTTGACAGGAATTTCCAAAAAAACCAAATTGATGGGTTTTCATGACTACGCACAGAAATCGATAAACGCACTTTGGGCTATGAGAGATTTCATAAGTGTACTAAAACATTCAAATGAATCTAAAAAAGATTAAGAATATTATCTGCGAATAAAACCCTTGGTGAACTCCATACGAGGTAGAAATAAAAACGAGGGACATGTTGGAGATATTTTATCCTAGTTTTTTCACTGATTTTAGTGATGCATAACGAGTATGAATCAGATTGGAAAAAAAGTAAACATTGAGGCAGGTTGGGTGTTTAGAGTGACATGGAGGACTAGATGCCAAATGGTCGATCCAAATGTCAAAATAAAGATCGTGTTTTAAACTTGTTAGGAAACTAGTTTTAGATGCGGTTTTGAAAAAGCCAAATATCAGCATTGGAATGAGTCTTGATCAATCCCATGGCTAAAAATTTTAAAATGATCTCTGTATCATGAGACAGTTTACAAGCGAGCAAACTTACCTTTAACGCTCGCACCTCGTATAGTGACGATTCGATTTCCAGGATGTGATATTTTAATATTCTAAAAGTGCCTTAATATCGCTGCCAATTCAGGTTTAAATTAGTTCATTTCCTCTTGTCATTTACCACCGGTCTGAAATGATAACTGCCTATAACCAATATTCCTTGACCGACACCTTGTCAGTTTTCAACACAATTCATGAATATCTTTCTGAGTCAAACTTATGACCACGTAACCTCGTTTAGTCATAGATAGGGTGAAATCTTTCATAAAATTGTTCACCAATTTTTAACAAGAATTCCCATAACTCAATTCTGAGAAAATAGGAAATGAAAAAGAAGCAAAAAGAGTATACTTGAAGATCATCGTTATTCTTTGATTAACCAAATGATTCTTAAATATTTGCATCTGTCAATCGTTCATAATCAGATCGTCTTTCTAATTTGTTGTCCACCAGCACCACTTCAAAATTATGATGTACACTGATCTCAGCGTGAACCATCCTCTGTAGGCTCTCAAACAGACCTTCCAGCGTCTCTCAAGACAAAATTCTATCAATGTTAAGTATTCTTAGTGACTAATAGATGGCCTCTTAACCCTGACAAGAGAAACATAATTGATTACTCCAACTTTCGATTTGAAGTATCCTTAAATTATACAGTAAATTTAAATTGCGTATTGATTGGACAAAGTCCTCAGGGAGTTTTTCTTTAGCGTTTTTTAGGTTCTGTAATTAACACAGAAAATGTATTCAATGTTTAAGGGTACAATTGTTTAAACTTTCTAAAGAAATAAAAGGAGTGAAATATATTATTGAAGCTCACTTATAATTAGACTCACATAGGTGTGTCCCCAGTCGCTCGTGACGGTAAAATCTAGGCGCACTTTTCATAAAATTTACACACCTCTTTTAAGTAAATTTCATATGCATATGAGGGCAATGTTTTTATAGCGAAAATTGGAATTGGCTTTGTCGCAGTGAGCAACACATTCGTACCTTTTTCTTTTACAAGTCACGGATTCTCAGTAAATCAGGTAAAAAGCGCGAGAAATCTGGCAAAGCATTCGAATAGTACTCACTAAATTGCTTGTTATACAGGCTAGTGGATGTACTGTTTTGTTAATGAAAACTATTAATTTCCCATGCATCTATTTCCTGCTTGGTGGCTTCATGGTTGCGTAAGGCCCGAATTCCTAACCACAAATTTATTTTCAATTCAAGAGTTCGATAGACTTGCTTAGTCCACAAGAAATGAAACTTTGCATGATGTAACACTACGTACTTCGCTCTTTTTTTCAGTCTCTTTAATGATCAAACTTCCTCTTTCAACGCTAAAACGCTACAGAAACAACAATTTTCTTCGATGGCGCCGTGAATTGTGCTATTTTGCTATCAATAAAAAAACTCAATGTCTCTTCTCTTGAGCCTAGCGTCTTCAACCGTTGAGTCACGTGATTGCTGCTCAGGTCCCAGGGCACCACATTGTTCGTAGGCTAACCGGCAAATATCTTGAAGATTTCTTTCATGCTTTAAAGAATAAAGAAAATAGGGTTTTATTTAGGGAGTGCTTTACGAAGTCTAAGTATTACTTGGAATACCTAGAACTAGAATACTTAGAATTACCGTAGTTATTCGGTTATAAGGCGCACTCGGCTATAAGACGCACCCCCAATTCGGCAACTTCATTATTGCATGTTTTCAAACTGAGAAAATCGCTGAAATACTTGGTTATAAGGCGCACCGTTGTTCGGGGAGTAAAGATCGGTCAAGTTTATTGTAAATTCTTTCATAAACTTACAAAAAAGCGAAAAAGTCGCCTATTGATTTTAGTTTACCGTTAATTAACAAAAGCAGAATTGTCGCACACGCGACCACGCGCACAAACAAAAGCTTTGATTAAACAAGAATTAACGTACCGCCAAGAATGCAGGTCGCAGTGCACAAAAAAGGCTGAATGGATGAAGAAGGTATTTATCTCTTCGCTTGTTTATTTTCGTTTCGTTTTGTGACGTATCAAATTACTAAGCACGCGCTCTCGAGCACGTAACATATCTATGCAAATTTGACTTCGCTTGTCTTTTCAGAACCGCCATATTTATAAAAGTCAATGCTCAACACTGTGTGTCCTTTTATTTGCTTGAAATCGTACCAGTAACTGTGATAAAAAAAATTGTTTCGGAAAATATTCGCCTATAAGACGCACCCAAACTTTGGCGGTAATTTTTAGTAGAAATTAGGAATTTCTTGAAAAAAACGGTGCGCCTTATAACCGAATAACTACGGTAAGTTATTTGAACCGTACTGATATATTCACCGTAGATCACTGACGGAAGTGATGGCCAGTGAACCAGTGAACCAGTAGTCAAAGAAAAGTTTGTAATAAGGAGGAAAATATTGTTTATAAAGTAAATCTCATTGCTCTGAAGTAAAAGTGATGCCCCCAAATTTAAGACATAACTCACTAAAGTCCATTTTACCGGTACTAAACGTTGCCATTGACAAAACAATTTCTCAGAGATGAAATAAAAAGTATTCAATACCTACCTTAGAAGATCTTCTACCAACTTGGTTAGAGACAAATGCGTCCGAGAACTGGAAAAAAGAAGACAAAATAAAAAAGAAACAAAGAGTCGAAATCATGGTTGAAGTTTTCATGTTAACGCTACTTCGAACGTCCACTGCTATAACCACTCTTAATTCTCAGCTATGAATTCAGGAAATTTGGAAACCGTGTGCTGCGTTTATATGACCTCCATCCTTGGGATATCACAAAAAAAAATTATTCATATCCTGCTCTGTTAATGCCCTAATGGCAGAGGCGGTACATTACTCTCTAAAACTTCCTTCCTTAAACGCATTATTTGAATAAGATGAAGGTGTTGAAAAGAAACAAAGAATTGTAAATACATCTGCCGTTTAATGTGAAAACGTTCTATTGCATGTTAATCAATTTCCATGTCAGTTCAGTTTTCATTGGAGTAGTTTACGATTCTTCAGAGTGTTTAGTGTTATGATGTCGAACAAACAAAACTGTTAAACTTAAATATTTTCAAAAGTCTTCCTTAAAAACCTAAACTTCTTGTTGCTGTGCGATGTTAGTTACAAAAGATTAAGAATTTTAATATTCGATTACGATAATGCGATCAGTGTGGTTGATAATATTCCAGCTTCCCTTTGGCGGCAAAGGTTTATTTCCTTTGCAGACCATTATCACATTACTGCCTCATGTCCATCAAATGTCGAAATGTTAATTTCATCACTAGAAAATCCCCTTTCCGTGACGACTAATGGCTTCCTTCTCGACTAAAGTACCTTGGAAATGAGCAATGCATCATGTATTGAATAGAGAGTAGTAAACTTACAAAAAATATCACGAAACAAAAGAGACACTAAACTGCTGATGGTAAAACTCAAGCAGAAATGTAAAGTAATTCATGCATGTGGAGTTGAGATGTAAAAAAGAGAAAAATTCCCTTGTTTAGCTTCATTGAGTTTTAGTTAAAGTAATGGCGTTGTTTTGTTAATAATTAACATCTGTTTGCAAGGCGGGTCCAATATTGGACACACGATCATTGGGCATTGTCTTCTTGAATTTATGTTAATGACTTCGTAAGTATGATTACGCCAACGGTCAGATGGACGAAATTAGTTTTTCGTGTACTATTGCGAATTTATAGATGTTAGCACTAGTGAATTCTTAGACTTGCTACCAGTTGCAGTCCCACACAGCGTAAGGCTTCTTAGAACATAACAAAGTGCTAATTTTTCCTTATTACTCGGCATTAAAAACTATTCCGTTCATGAAGGATCTCCACATGTCCCTTTACATTTTGTTTCCGCGCCCCCTACCTTTACCTATAAAGTTCTGTAAATAAATTGGCTAGCTTTCTTAATTCCAAAATCCCCCAGATGTAGGCTTGTCAGATTTACATATGCTGTCACTAAGTAATAATAAATTATTTCCAACGACATGTCGAAAGATTTTATGTGGGTGCGAATGTGTTAGTTCTCGATTTATTAAGTAATCAATCACCTATTAATTAATGTTTCTTTTACAAGTTTTAAAAAACAAAAAAGACTACAGGTAAGATTTTTTTTGGCACACTTTGGTTAAATCTTCATAATGATTTGAGTGACATACATGTTACTTCATCCCGGTCAGCAAGCAAGGCATTGGACAGAAACGACTGGTCCATTTCTGCCCTTCGAGGTACGATTCTACTAAAGTTATAACCTATGAATAATTTCAAGAAATAACTCAGTCCAAGCATTAGATAGTAGGGTTAATCTGCAGACATCCTCCAAGTTTATACCCGCAGGGAATTGGATGACCTGATGACCTTTATCTCTTCCGTTTTAACATGAACATGCGCAGAAGAGTGCTAGTAGTGCAAACGTACGTATGGAACAAAGTCATTTTCAAAACTTTATTGAAGTTACTCCGATTTCTGTTGCATCAGTGAAGGAACAGGAATATCACTTCTTTTTCTGAGCAAGATGCTGACCAAATCGTATTGCCTTTGACTATTTAGTGTTTTGTAAAGTTTCCTTTAACAATTTTTAAACGCCTTCTTAAAGGACATTTTATCTGATTTTTTTTTTTTTTTTCTTTTCTCCCCTTTTTGTAAATTTTAGCAAATTTTACCTAACCTTGTAATCTTATTGTAAATGTTTATATGTAATTTTTATTGAACCCAGGGCCCCTAAGGATACCAGCCTTGCAGCTGACTGGGCTACCCTGGTAAAATAAAGTTGTCTTGTCGTGTCTTGTATCTTGTACCCTTTTAAGAGGGTCTCAATGGGATGATGGCTTTTACGGCTGACGGTTAAATTTTTGAGTAATGTTACGGCTAACGGTTCATTTCTTTCTGTTACGCTTAAAAGAAAGAGTTTTAAGTTTAAAGTCTTTCACGACTAACCGTTATTATTGCTTTTCTTTTTTGCCGTTTGACGCAATTACGGCTAAAGGGTTAACCTCACTGAGACTCTCATTTGAGACATGCTCTGTGAGAGGATAAACACTGTTCGAGGTAAGTGTCAAGAAACAAGACAGTCATTCTTGTCAATGCTCAACCTTTGTGTTCGCATTCCAGCAAAATACCAACAAAAACGACTTTTAAATGATCAAAGGAGGGTATTATGGTGATACAAACCTGTCAAACTTGTCTTCCGCTCACAAATTCATGCGTGACATGCTTTGTTCTTTTTTAATTCAATTAAATTAATCTCCTTTGGACAAAAGTGTAAATACATTTCAAAACAGAAACAATCTCCGTGTGTGGTGATTCAGTATGTTTAATATTGTATCCTTGACAAGGAAATTCAACGTCTCTGTTCTTTCACACACGGTTTTGCATCTTCAGCCTCTGTGTCACGCGCCTGCTGTTGAGGACTTGAAATACCACAGTGCTCGTGGGCGAAATTTCAGATGTCTGTAATATTTCTATTATGCTGAATGAAAAAATAGAAAAGTTTGAGACTTCGGTGCAAGAGTGATAATCCTAAATTGTAAACACCGCAAAATAACTTACATTATTCACAGCTGCCAATAAACTCACAATCTATTTGAGTTATTTTTATTTTTATTTACATCATCTATTTCTATAAATGTTCTCTACAATAACTTGGCTGAAGAAAAAGGAGTTTGTAAACTAAACAAATTATAATTATCAAATTATAGCATAAAAAAGATGAAAACCTAACCAAATCGTTGTCACTGTGAACATACTGTCTCTTACATACTGAACGTGAATGATGCGGGTTGAAGCTGAATGAGAAATATATTAATACAGTAGGTCCTAAGCGTCATACTCATAGTTGGCACACATATTGACAGATATGCGTTAAGGAATGAAGCAAAGCAATTCTTCTTCACGAGGGTTTTTACGAAGTTTAGCGTGGAAGAGGTGCAAAACATTTTGTTCTCACATCGCACTAAAATTATAAATCGGGAAAGAAAGGCGAAATGAAAATTGAAACATTGCTGCATTATACGCTAACTGGTGTCGTTGCTTGAAATGGTCAGCTACATATCTTGGCATGCCATTCGAGAGGAAAGTGTTTCCAATAGGGGTGAATTTTTTCCCTCTTTCGGCTTTCCAATGTTCCTTACCTGTGCTACCCAGTCGATTGATTTAAGTTCATTTTAGAGAGTTTATCAGCCCCTAATCTCCATCCTAAGGATCGGTGAAATATTCAGTGTCAAACACATACCTCGAGGAAACTTTCACCAGGCATCAGCTACCTTCCAAACGGCATCGGAAACCTTGATAGAAGTATGTAAAATGAAAAAGCAAGAAAAAGTCGAAATTAAGCGTGAAGTTTTCATTATCCTGCTTTCAGAGATGAAATTTCACATCAGAAGGTATATGTGAATTTAAATAATTTTGGAATCATTTACTTACACATATCCTTGGGATGTCGCAGAAAAAATTCGTTCTACTATGTTAATGGCAGATGTGACGTATTAATACGGAAAATTTCCTTTCATTTCCTTGCATTAGCTAGAAAGTAGGAGTTGTCGAGACACAAAGGAGTGTAAATGCATCCGTTTGCTTCATCATTAGCCGTATATTTTACATGTTTATTAATTAGAGAGTCTCAAAGGGGTGATGGCTTTTACGGTCAAAGGTTAGCATTTTGGCCAATTTACAGCTATCGATTAATATAACAGGGTAATTTAGTATTATCAACTAAGTTGATAAGGTAAATTGGCCATCGTTAAGAGTTTAAAAGCTGACGTTCTGAACGTCAGTCCTTCGTCACTCGCTATGATGAAGGGCTAACGCTCGAAGTGTCAGCTTTGAAACTCTGGTGAAGGTCAATTTACGTTATCAACTCGGTTGACAATAACAAATTACCCTGTTATACTCTCCCACCAATGTAGCAGCACAGTTTCTTTAGAAACTTACCCCCTTTGTCGGTTGATATAGTTCCATTACTGTCAACACAAATATCCTTTACGGTTAACTTTTTTTACGACTCACGGTTAAAATTTGCCAATTTTTATATCCAACGGCTAAATTTTTTAGCCGTTTACTGCTAACAGTTAACTCTATGGAGATCAAAAATTAATTAATTTATCACGTACTGGGCAGAATTACTGAGCGACACTGAGGGCATTTTTTTTATCACGAGGGCACTCTTGGTAATCAAGAGAATGTATGATAGCTTGATCCTGGTTGACATTTGCTTAGCAGCAGAAGGTTTAGTTGAGATATGCTGATGAAAAGTTGTTTTTTTCAGATAACGGCTGCCCCTGTTAGAGCCAGCGAGTAATATTATGGGTACGAATTCATGCAAGGAAGTGATAATAATAAAAGAAAAGGAGAACTGACATGTAGACCAGAATGTTTTAACAATGGGAGAAAAGATTAAGTCAGTCCTCTTCGTGCTTCTATGCACGGAGGGCCTTGACCAAACAACGCCTATCATTTCTGCCAGTTGCCATTCGGCAAAATCGTTAACTCCCCCAAGTTGATTTCGCCTCGACGAATTTGGCTAAAATTCGTCGAAATCGTCAAATCCGCCGACCTGATTTCGCTTTGTCAAATTTGACTGAAGGTCGTCAAAATCGTCAAATCCATCAACCTTATTTGGCTTTCATGAATTTGACTAAATCGTTAAGTCCGCCAAATCGAATTTGACTAATAATCGCCAAAATCGTAAAATCCATG